CCTTATTCCTCAACACTGCTACCTCTTTCACCAATCGATGAGTGAAGACGTTTATCTCCCAGAGCAGAGGGTCCCAACTCTATCGGCCCTCGCAACAGCCCCGCTCAACCATCAGCCTCCAAGATAATAAATTTGCTCCGGAGTCCGACTTACCGGGAGATCATTTCCTCACTTCTGTCTCCTCCCGACTCAACAAGACGCTCAAGAGGGGGAGGAGGGGGAGCAGGACGACAGCGATACGAAACAACTCAGTCTTCTTTTTTAAAAAGTATATAGGCCTACGATAAATCAGAAGCACGAATTTGCAAATTCAAAAGTGTACGAATTAAATCTGAAAGAATAATATTATTGCTCGCTTGTCCAAGGGCTCGATAAAGGAAACATGATTCTAAAATCTGAAAGCCGAACGAAGTAAGACTTATTTTTTGAAAGTGTCCCTAAACAACTTTTTTGTCTTTTTGTTTATTTGTTTGTTTGTTTGTTTTTCTGTTTGTTTGAGTAAAGAGAAGCCCATCGATACAATAATGTTCATCTTGTGCTGAAAAAAGTAAGATACACAGACAGAAAACAACAGAGGGAAAGTAAAGAAGTAGGACCTACCAGTGGCGCCCCCCAACCACCCAACCCGGTACAGTGTGTCTTCAAGCTTCAAGCGTTGCGAAATAACCAGGACGTGAATCCTCTAGGTCATATAAATGCGGAAGAATAGAGGTGATTTAACGCTATCCGTACGCCCTGGGGTCATTTTGTACCCCCGGGGTTGTATTCTGCACATTTCAGAATACTTCTAGAACGAAGATCTCTTTGATACTTAGTATTTCTCGTAAAATCATCTTGGTAGACTGCTAGGAAAAGCGTACAGATCGGATTACCAGTAAATTTCCTTTTTGGATTCGATAGTAAAACACGACGTACGGATAGGGTTAACTATCATTTAACACCCCAGCGGAAAGACCGAGATACTCGATAAAAAAAAATTCTGAACTCGGAAGTCGAAATTGGGTCTACTATGTGCCACAGCGAAGCCTACAATCACTACACCATAGACCCTGTATTAGCTTCGGTGGGGAGCAGTGTGTCCCTTGTTTTGTTTGAGCAAAAGAAACATCCTCTTTCTCCCATCACCCCCTCCCACTTCATCTCTCTTTCTCTCTCTCTCTCTCTCT